ATAATAATGATAGAAGAGGGGGATAGATATGGGATTGCACCAAGTGCGGTTCGAACCTTAAATTCAAACTCTAACTCACATAGGAAAAAGTGCATTGTCACTTTGTGAGGTAATTTTTTTAATATATTAAATAATAAATTATATAATAAAAATTAATTATTTTTTAAATTCTTCTCAGTAATTTTAAAATTTAAATTAAAAAATTTTGACATAATTTTAAATTTTTAATCATCAGATAAGACTCACTTTTTAAAGTAATTGAAACATAAAGGCATGATTTAATTCTATGAGATTATTTTTTTTTTCATTAATTTTAGGTCACAAAATCCAATATATAATTTAGAAATAAGCAAAACCCAAATTTTGGAGAAAGCTCTTTCTAGGATTCCAAAACTTGCAGCATAAAGAAATCAAATTTATCAAGTAAAAACCATAGATTATCCGTTAACAATCATTTTTATTGCTCAATGCCCAATACAAAGTAAGGGGTCCCCTATCTCTTTGTGATAATTTTGATGGGCTCCTCCGCTGCCAAGGCAGTCCTTAATTTAAACTTTTTCTTAAAAGAATTATGCCCCCCAAAGATAAAGATGGAGTATGCAAGAACATTCTTTATACAAAATATGAAATGATGATATTAAAACAATGGTGAGACTTTATGAAATGGGGGTTGGGAGGCCTATTCACATGTAGTGTTGCCCTTGTCATTAGATCCGTGTCCTTTTTGTATGTTCATAACTTCAAGGGGCAGGGGTTTGACCCATTTTGGCCTTTATGTAACTTTGATGTATGCTGATGTGTGTGCATGTGAATAGAATGACCAGCCTAAATATTTGACCACCTACACAATTAATGTCCATATGGGAAATATAATACCATTTTTGTTTTCTTTGTTGATGGATTATGAAAAACACATTACCAAATCTTTATATTCCCATTATTCTGCTTTTTTATATGAAGAAAACAACAGCTCTAATTAAAACTTGAATATTTGGCCGCGGAAATCCCTTCAAAAGTGAATTGGAAAAAAGAAGGGGTTAGACATAAAATGTAGACAGAACTAATTAATACCAGGTTGGACTAATTCAAGAATATGGGTGACTTGAGTGGACATCATGAATCATGATAATCCTTTTTCTCAAATGGGTCCCTACCAATTTGTCCCCCAATTTTCTTCCAAAGTTCCTACCTGTGAAAGTTGATTATTTTGCAAATTTCCCCTCTCTCCACTTTGTGTTTCCTTTGCTCAAAAGTTCAAAGAGGAGGATGTTTATTCTGTTTGTGGTGGTTTAGTCTTTAAGATCAATCATGATCACCCTCTTCAAAAAGGAAAGAGGGATGTGGACTGAGAAGAGCTTATTTAAGGGGGAGCAATTGAAAAAAGTAGTCTGAATTTTGCTTCAATGTGGGGTCATGTTTCTTTTAATGGGGACCATGTACTTGATTGAAATGGCATAGAAATCTTACCCACTCAAAATTTATTGCCTCCAAAAGATTGGCAATTGATGTTGATTTCTTGAGAAAGTGGTTTGTAATGTGGTATATGTACAAGTTCAAGTTAATGGCCTAATGGTTCAAGGGCTTGGGTTGAGTTCAATTAAGTAACACCATTGCTTCTACTTTCCAATTGTTCCCTGACGGCCCACGCCCATCTCTCTCCCTCTCTCATAATTTTGAGACCAAACCCAAACTTTCCACACAAGTGGGCTGCATCATCAAGTAATGGCCCATCACCTCTCCCTAAATGTAGGAATAAATCCCAACCGTCCAATCCTCCTTCACACTATTGCTGTCTGTCCCACCGTGGACAACCGTGAGTACTTATCCAGGGATGGTATTTTTAATTTGAGTCTTCTTTTCTCCAATGCGAAGCCTCTGTTTTAGTGTTTATGCCTTTCTAATTTCTGCTTCATAAAGTTCAGATTTGTAGGATTGTTGTTAGTAGTATTATGTTGCTAATTTTAGCATCAATTCTAACATATGCGTTCCCAAACTGAAAACAGATTTGCCCATATGAACATTAAGAAGAAGACCCGTATGGACCGGATTTCAGAGTTGCTTGAATGCATCATCCCTCACATCTTGTCCTTCCAGTTGAATGCATCCTATTCTGTCTTGGATTTTGAGAAAAAACACTTCTATGATCAAGAAAATTTTGAAAATGTGAGCAAGCTTAGAGAACTTGTTTATAATTCTCTGCCTTGCTTTAGCTAGAATAAGTTTAGTGTTGGAGGCATTTGGTGTTGGCATGTTACCTGCATCACTTTCTTGAGTTTGATAGTTGGAAAAGATTAGCCTTGGAAACTGGGGTGAAAAAGTTAAAGCTATATGGCCCAAGCAGAATCTTGAGGATTTTATACTTTACCTCAACCACTATATTCTTCAGAAACATTGACTCTACAAGTTAAAGGGCTTTGTTTTTTGGACCAGCCCTTATCTTTATTTAGATCCCTTAGGAAGCTTGCTTTGAGACATTGCCATTTAAGCGGTTATCTAATTTTGAAGAATGGTGACTGCCCCTTACTTGAAGAGTTAGTTATCAAAAACTGTGTTTATTCCAACCCTTTCCATATTTCTAATCTTCTTTGTCTCCACATTGTTAGAGTTAGCTTATATGATGGAGATGGAGCTGATGAGTTAGTGATTGCATCTGAAAGTATCTAACGTTATTCTATCAAACCTAGGTAGTCATTTTCAAGATGTCAAGATCGTGTCTCAAGAGTTAAAACTCTAGGGATTTGCTTTGAAACTTATGCGACCTTAGCATCCTAGAAATTGCATCACCTAGTCTAAAAATTTTCAGTTGTTTTATCTCAGACAGAATCTTATATGATTAAGATGCCAAATTGTTGCTGCAATTTGGAAACCTTGATGTTCTTTAATTATCTGACCAAAGAGGGAACTTTTCATGACCTTACTTTCAACTTTCTGTTGCTTTGCTTGAGTGTCTTTGGGTCATTGGATGTCCAAAGTTACAAAGGATAAAAGTTACTAATCTTTTACTTGAAAGGCTACATGGTGTGTTATGCTTTAGACCGGAAGCTGTGAAGGTTGACAGTCCAATTTTATGTGAGTTTTGTTGTAAGGGTCTCAAGGCACCAAAATTTTCAGCAGCTGATATGAGGCATCTGGTGGTTTGAGCCATGAGGTCTGAGTCTGAAGCCAGCACATTTCTGTCTTTTAGATCGAAAAATATGCTGACATATATATAAATTCTGTTCATGTAAAAGATCAGTATCTTTGCCATGAAATATTCAGAACTGAGGCTAGCATTTTAGTAGATTTCCCTTTTCTTGATCGTCATACTAATTGACACTTTGATCCATGGCAAAAATTCGGATTCCTTGTCAATTGTGTTTAATGTTTAGTTATTGTTATCATCATTATTTGATATCTCATAGAACTCCTCCTGGACCTAAAAAGGAGTTTTGATTTTGCCGTTTGGATTGCACTGAACTAGAAATTAGGAAACAATGGATTGGATGGTACTGGATTGCAGAAAACATTTCTGCCCAAGAAATTAAAGCAAAGACAAACATTCAACATAACTAGTCCGTGAGCCTTTCATAATACTCAGTTTAGATGACAACAAAATGTATATGCTAAATTGGCTAAGAAAGCCATACTTCAACTTGGCATGATCTGCGTTTCCTCTTTGATTTCTCGTCCATTTTCTAGCACCCGCTGGGGAGCTGGAACCTGATAACTGAGCACATTTTCACTACTAACATAGACTACCTTGAAGATGTCATACTTAATACTAAGAGAGAATCGCTCAAGATAAGGTAACATGTTCTTCCTATAATCCGAGTTAAGGATCCAAGAATAGCAGGATTGGAGGGATTTCCATACATAAAGGCTTGCTACCATTGGCATGCTCAGGCACTTCAAGCAAACCCCTGCTGCTGCGCCTTCCATCTTCAAGAAACGTGACCTGAAGAGAGCTAAGTTTGCATAGGAGAGGTCGTTGAGATCACCGGAGGAAGGTTGGATGATGTTCATGGAGATTGTGTCACCTCTGGAGAACTTGGCTGCTGAAGTGCCATCTCTTGATTCTCCTGCATATGCATCAAAGAAGCTGTGCTCAGTCAGGACCGCCATGCTTGACGTATCTGCTAACATTGATAACTGCAACAAAAGAAATGGAGGGTTATGATAAAATCAATTAAAATGAAAATCTAGGAAAACATTGTGCTGATAATATTTTTTTAATGGAAAATCCAACTTACTAAGGTTGTTGTCAATAAATCTTTGTCTTGACTAGATTTCTTCATCCATCCTCCATACCAAATGATCTGAATACCATCAAACCAAGAAAGCAAGAAACAAAAGGAGATCAAGGACGACAAAAAGAAGAAATGAACAAAGATATTCAAATTGAAGGTAAATGGTATTTCTTAATTAAGCTTACCATGTTTCCATGGATGCTCTTGAATATAGAACTCTGAAGACAACCAAGACTTTCAGTGCGCAAAGAGAAATTTTTGAGTGATTCAATGAGGTCGTCGACAAGCACAACTGTTGGCTTGAAGAGAAAGAGGCATATGTCCAGGCTTCTGTTATTGAAAGGAAGAAAACATGCCATGATCTTTTCTTTCCTGTTAAGACACTTTCCCTTCTTTGTGTTCTTCGAATGAACCAAGTGGAGAAGAAAAGGTGCTTAAAGGCCGCTAGAAATTTGGGCTGGAGAATTATGGTGGCGGTGTCGTGGGAGAAGGGGTAGAAATTTTTGTTGAGATCAATGGAGGTGTCCAATACTCCAAATGGTTTTCTTGGTGATGAATCTTACGAAGTTTTTGACAAAAGCATTGCGGGAGACGCGGAATGAGTCCTGCGTTTTGACTCATTCTATGTTTTAAAGTTGGTAAAATCCCCTCTTAAGCCTCAGACTTATCCCAAATTAATACTTGACCCCCTAAACTAAAACTAATGCAAATAAGTCCTTAAACCCTTCGAATGATGCAAATTAACCCTCAAACCACTCAAAAGATGCAAATCAGCACTCTTCATTAACAACCCAATGCATGTGATCTCACATCATCTTTTTTTTTTTTTCCCCTTCACTTGATCTCATTTTTCCATGTGAATGCTAACTAGATCAAATGATCCATTGTATGGTAAAAATTCCGCCAAAATGACCTATGTGACTTGAGAATACTAAATAAAAAAAAAAGGTTACATGGGCTATTTTGATAAAATTTTTATTATCTAATAAATTTATTGATTTACCGTAATATTTACATGAAAAAGTGAAATTTAACGAAGAAAAAAAAGTAGATGATATGAGATTACATATCTTATATCCTTAATGATGAGGGTTGATTTGTATCTTTGGAGGAATTTAAGAGTTAATTTGCATCATTTGAAGGATTTGAGAGCCAAGTTACATCATTCGAAAGGTTTGTGGGCTTATTTACATGACTTTTAATTTAAAGGCTCACATGTTAATTTAGGGAATGCCTAGGGGCTTAAGAGAGGATTTTGCCTTGAAGGTTTTATTTATAGTTTTCTGCCCTTTGAAAAACGAATCTAGAAGACTAGGGGTTCATACTTTTCTTTTATTGTTTATTGATAAAATCAGGAATTTTGTGTCATTTTCTTTCCGCATAAAATATATTAAGAAGACAAGTGTCTCAATTTGTAATTGTAAGTATTAAGTTGAGGGTTTTAAATTAAACTTGTAAGTAAATAAAAAACGAATTAAAGAAAGGAAAATCTAAAACCATTTTTAATTGTATAGTTTACCATCAATTTTATATGTAAGTCTAGGTGAAGTGAATCCTTCTATGGATAATCGGATAGGGAAAAGGAAAATGAAAGCCTGCCAAACAAAGTCAAGGTTTTCTCCTATCATTTTAGAGGAAAATTTTTTTTTAATGATTTTCCTAATAAACTAATGAAATAAGCAGAATTGCTTGTCTCCATTAGTACCTTCTAGACCACCGTTGAGACAGATTTTATATCCGCTCCCACCACTTGGTGACTTTGATTGAGCCGCCTTGACCAAGGCTTTTTGTGTTGCGCTACGCTTGGTGTTTGTACCATAATTGTCAGGTTCCTTCTTCTTCTTCTTTTTCTTTTTAATATAAAATATTAATCAAAATTAATAAAAATATATAAAAATTACTTAAAATTAATTAAAAATAATATATTTACATTTTAAAATAAAATGTTGTGTGAAAAGAATTTGTGTTAAATATTATCAAATGAAGTTTAAGATCTCCATACAAGGATTCAAGTCAAGCACGTGCAAAGTTAACGCACTAGTTCAAAGGTTGTGCAAAATTCGCAGTAACGTGTTCAAATCCGTTGAATGGCTGACCAATTACCTGACCAAAATAATGGTACATAGCGGGAGGGCAAATGGGTAGCAACTAAGCAATACATAGTTTTGTGAGTACGGAATTTGGACTTGCTTTCTGCTTCTCGAAAAGGATTGACTCTTATTTCTTCCGGTTACTATTTGCACTACCTATTTGTTGAATTGTTACGTCTTATGAAGGATCAACACCGAATAAAAGTGCTTTCCTCGCATCAGATGGAATGGAAACACTATCAAATGTGTAAAACTGGACTTCCCATTTTTCTTGCAAAAACCTGCAAAATCAAAAATATAATATGTCATGTGCATTTGGTTGTGCATGTCTGATCATTCTGTTATATTTTCCTTCTTCAAAAAGATTAAAATATGTTTTGTGGCTATGAGTTAAAAATAATAATAATAATGATATTCTCATCAAGAATTATATGTTCTAGAGTAGAGACATTGTTTACCTTGTTTATAGGTCTATGGGGACCCTTAGACCATCTTGTGCAAGTTGTACTGGGATTCCTTCCCTAAATACAGAAAAATAGAAAACATTTGATGAAATCCTTCAAAGAATTCAAATGAAGTATGTCACAATCTTCTATAAATCATCACAACTTCACAAGTATAGAAGTTTTAACCGTACTACTAAAAAAATAGAAGAATAATAGACAGGAAGCAAGTGAGATATTCAGTAAAATTGAAAATAAATGTACCTCTTTGACCATTCCACAAGGAATTCGTTGTCTTTGTGGTGATCAAACTCGTGAGTCATACCAATTAACAGAGCTCGTTTTGGACATAGCTTCTTAACAGCTTCAAGAGTCTGTAAAAATATTAGTTACTGAAACATAAACATGAATACATTTTAAGAAGAGTTATTGGAGAATGCAGACTGTAGAGCAAACCTGAGGAAAGCAGAAGTGAGTATTATGGGATCCATTCTGCAAAGAGAAAAACAAGAAAAAGGAATATAGAAAGCATTAATTCCAAAAAATTTGAAAAAACTCATAGAAATCACACGGCCCTGGAAATTTCATTAAGAAATACGTAGTCCCACAATAATCAACAATTAGATATTTAACTGCAGACCTTGTATAGTGTATCCAATATAAGAAGATCCAACTGTCCAGCACCATTTTTTGAAATAACTGCAGTTTCAATATTCCTAAAAATTGTCAATGAAAAAAACTATATTCTAATCTGTAAAGAGACAGAACTTGAAGGCATATAAGAAGCCAGACAATTAATTAAAATCATTTGAAGAACCTTAACTGCTTTCTTTTTTTGGCCAACAAAAGCCCTCAATGCTGATTTTAACAGAAAAAACTGTAAAGAATGCAGGATTTCAATTGCCAAGAAGGTGGCATATTTTAATTTCAACTTGAAATCTATCAAGGGGGCAGACCAGCTATACATTGGTTAAAGGTTTAGAATGTTGGTCCCTATGGTATGTAGACATAAGAAGCTGTAATGGTTACCATGGACAAGATAAACACTGGGTCAAAATCTAGAGATAACACTTTCAGGTAAAGCAGGCAATCATTTTTTAATCTAAGTTTCATTTTTTTTAAAAAAAAAGGGAAAATAGATGGCAGCTTTTTTTTTTTCATCCTTTTTTTCTTCTTTTGATAGAAGGTGAAGGGTATTCCTGCCTGTATAATTAAAAAAAATAATTTTTGAGCAGCAAAAACTTTGTAAAATAAAAAATTGGAGAATCTTCATGATAAATATATCATTAAAGGGTACCTATATAAGGGGCTTTAACAAGAGAATCTAAAGTAGAACTCACCATACTCTGTGTTTGAAGGAAAACGTGATATATCAGATATATATGCCACTTTACATTTTTCACCAAAAAGAAAGCCCAAACAGATATAGTCTTCTCCATGCATCACCTACATTCAAACAAGATCAAGAGTGCTAAGACATGCATGATTGGGTAGTACAGATGATCTATTGTGTTTAGAGACAGCAGACTAACTGGCAAAGGAACAAATCTTAGGCCTGATGCAACAAATGGTTTATCACATTGTTCCTCAATTATCTTCCAATCAAGCTGTGCTACCCGTCTCACTTCCTGGCCTTCTTTAAGTTTCTTCTGAACCAAGTACGGAAATTTCACTGCAATGCTATTTCAAAAGACAGCATATAGAAACATCAGCTGAAAGTTAGGTTTTAAGCTCATTAAAGATTAGAATCTCACAGTTACCAAAGATATTAATATCATAACATGGTAATCAGGTGGAAGTAGCATTCAAGATTTATAATCGAAAATGTATAGTGCAGAATTGCTCCAAACAACAATCTTAATCATACCTTGCCATTGCAAATTCTGTTAGGTAAATGGGAGTCGGATCAATATCATTTGTAGGACTAAATGGTTGCACTGCACGTATATCATCCAGACCGAGAACTGCATCAGCATGCTCGTGGGTCAAAATGATCTGTAGTTCATACAAAAATTAGGAAAAGTTTGAAATCCTGCTAGGCAACAAAAACAGCAATGTTATACAGCAAAATATGTAAAACCATGATCTAAGTTAGTTAAGTTTCTCTTATACTTCCGACTAATATTTTCATATCATTGTTTAAATAGTAACTTAAGTAATGAGGTAGTGCTAGCATGGACGTTATTATTCATAAAGCAAGTTATAATATTACTATGTCTTTCACCCAAAATTATAGCTTTTGTTAAATATTCACCCTGAGATAGTGTCTATAACAGTTTTGTTGATACCATATGTCTTAAGACTCTCTACTATCCTCTTAATCATTTTCTTAATAATTGAGATAAAGTAGAACATTGACAGAGCCATGACAGGTATTATTGAAAAAAGCAAATAACCAAGATATTTAATGATGACTCCCTGATAAATGCCATCAATCAGCATACTGATGATCTAAAATAACAAAAAGATTCATCTCTTATCAACCAATAATGTAGGATAAGTTATAAAGTAAATAACTCACAGAGTCAACTCGAGGTATCTTATGGAATGTAAACCAACGAAGAACTTGCTCCCTGAATGTCTTCCCAACATCAATTATTATGTAGTTGTGTTCACCATCACTCTGAGAGTAATCTATAAGCAGTGATGTATTACACCTGTAATACCAACAATCACATTAACTGCCAAGAGATTTAATGAATGATAAAAATTAGCTTTGAAGTAAAAATTCATTTTGCTGGCAATATATGCAATCTAACTCCTGATGTTGATCTGCATTTGACACAAGGAAGATTTTTTTTTTTTTTTTTTCTTTAATCTTGTATATATTTGCTATCTGAATGAAGCTCAAAAAACTCCAAACTTGTTTACCCGTCACTTAAATGTGTTTCAATCTCTGAAAATTAGTTTAAAATTACAAATACAGAATCAAAGCCAACAAAACCTGAAATAAAACTCTAGCAGCAACAAAAAAATATTCAGAATCAATAGAAACAGAAGCTCAGGCTAATATTCCTAGAAAAAAACATGACTTAAAGCTTTCTCCAGTTACCAAGCAATCAAAGTACAACGAAAAACAGAAAACACAAAAATTTGCAATTTGCAAATATTTTTCTCAATTTGACCTGATTTCTCTCAATAGCAAATCAGAATCTCACTACATTATCCACAAATCATCCACCAATATTTCCAGATCTATGCCTCAATCCAAAACACAGAGGCACTAGATGATTGAAGTTAAAAACGCGATAAAAAATTAATAGACAGAAAAGGTGACCTGTAATTAGGGTTGCGGTCGGGCGGGATCGATAGGGACTGGAAACAGACTTGGCAAGGTGGATCGGACGGCTGAATCAAGCACATTGCATTGGGGACGGCGCTGGAGCATCCCGTCCCCAGAAAGATCAGGGCCGATCCATCTCGAGCATCGCCATTGACGGCTAGAAAATTGTGATCAATATTGTTCCCGTTTTCGGTGGCTTTCTGGTTCTCCATTCTCTCTCTTTTCGCCGTAAAAAAAAAAAAAGAGTTCGATTTGGGGGGGCGTCGAGAGGCGGAGAGAGGTGGCGTAAAGAGGACCGAGAGGGAATTTTGTGAAATGTGGGGCTATTTATAAGAGAGATAACACGCCCGCGAAGAGGTAACCGCCCTTGCCGTTTTGTGCTTTACACGTGTCATTGTTTCAATGGCCGCCTTCTCTTTTTGTGTGTAAAGAATAAAGAATAGGCAAAACAACTATTTAAGCCCTCAAACTTACCTTATTTTAGCAGATATGACCTTAAATTAAAAGAGCAATCAAGTAAACCTGTAAACCATGCAATAAAGCAAGTTAGTCCTTCATTAATGTGTATAGATTTGA